TTACTTATCTGGCCTTTCTATAAGCAAACTCTTTTAGAAGGTTGTCAAAGTCGATGTTTTCAGCAATTTCGTTTTTAATTGACAAAGTTGCTAAGTTTGTCAATTAGATTGAGAAATTGCTGATCGAAGATAGGTTTTCATCAGCTTCAGCTTTGAAAAGCTCCGCTCCCCACTAGCAACCGTTACAGGAGGTATAGTTAATAAAATTCGCAATGCTTTCCATACATTTGGATACAGCTCTTGTAAGTTGAAATCGTTGATGAAATTTTGATCAGGTAAAAAGGATGCCACACTTATAAGTTTATCACACAACATACAACCATCTATGCCTGATTTAGAGCCTACAGTTAATTTTAATTGGAGATCACTACAGAGCTTGAGAAGGTCGCGTTTTTCTGGAATCGTACAAAAAAGACCAAGATTCCGAGTACTCATTTAACTGTTCGTACCTTTATTGATTGAAATTAATATAGTGTCCAAAATACCGTTGAAAAATTCAACCTCAATTTTTTTTCTGGAGAAGTTATAGGGTCATCGCGTGCAATTTCACCAGCTTGACGCTTAAGACGTCGAATTCTTGTTGTAGCTCGAAATTCAGGTTCAATTTCTAGTTCTTCGGCCAACTCCTTCGCAGTTAAAATAGCGCTTTTAAAGCCCGTATTTCTGTAGTTTTCCAAGAAATTGTAGCATATCTTCACACTTGTGTACATTTACCAAGATACATATCTGTTGACTGTAGAGATTTACTTACAACATTTTTTGATGAAGTATGTCAAGCTGAAATCTTTTAGCTGTTCGGCTAGAGTAGTAGCCTCATGAGACACTTGAACATCAGTTTTCTGAGTTTCAAGAGCTAAAGTAATCAAAGCATCATGGATATTACTAATTTGATAACGGACTGCTTTAACGCTACTTATTCTTGCTTCCCAACGAGTGTCACTAAGCTTTTTTAAGTATATAGTCCCAAGTGATCGGTTAAATGTGAACAACCTCTGAAGTATCCCAAACAAAGTGACCGATCCTACGGATGACTTAGCGGCATCGCATAGTACTAGATTGTAGCTATAACAGCCACACGGAACATAAAAAGCTCGAGAATTCTTCTTAGAACCCCAATTATTTTTCCTTTCATATTTGCCCCATTGTCATAACCCTGACCCCTGCAATCGTTCAATTCTAGTCCGTATTTATTTAAAACATTAATAATAACTTCAGTCAGTCTTTCACCAGTTGACTCATCGACAGGTATAAATTCCGAGAAATGCTCTTTTACTGATATTTTTTTATTATCGTCTGATAAATCAATAAATCGTAATGTCAGTGAAAGTTGTTCTACATGACTAATGTCAGGAGTACAGTCAGCTATAATGGAATAATATTTTGATTTCATTGTGTGTAATATGATTTCTGACTTCACTTTTTCGCCCATCAGCTCTATTAATTTATTTTGAATGTTTTTCCACAGTAGTGGTCTGAAATATGACTAGATCAAATTTGGCTAGTAGTTGTACTAAGCCTAAGAACTTTCCGTTATTTGGCGTGTATAGTTTGTCAGAAGTACCTCTGAACGCCATATTGTTTTCGGATAAATAAAGTGTGATATGCATCAATCTAGACAAAACATTATTCCATCTTGTAGTTTCCTTTTTAATCAAGTGTTGCTTTTGGCAGTCTATTGTTTTACCTATTTTTAATCGTAGTTCAGCTTCAATCCATGAACGGTAAAACTTCTTATGAAAAGTGCTATTTTCATGATTTTTTAATATTTCAGACAAGTGTTTCCAGTTGTTATACCATTCAGATACTAAGTTCGACGATGAGCTACTATCAAATAGTCTACAACAAAAACAATAAACTCGATCCTTAGAAACGGAGTAAATTAACCAACGGCGCTGAATTGTTTCATTGTTTGCAAGAATTTTTGTGAAATGAGAATTAGAGAAATGTCGGCCTGTATCATTCTTCGGATAATTATCAATCTGATTTTGCACTGGGCCGCTAGTAATTATGTGATCGATGATTTTGCCATTTCGGGTGACTAGCCAAGTGGCAGGATCCGTTATATTGGCGACAACAGTACTAACGTCATCTAGAATTTGTATTGGTTGTAAATCACCAATGGTGTCATCCGGAGCAGCATTTGTAATTGTACCACAGCTTATCATTTCACTTTGGGAAACTTTGTCCACAATCTCTTCAACACAATCTTCAGTTATCTGATTTGACTTGTCAGATAGAGACTCTGCTACCGATACTTTAATTTGTATTCCAGATATAGATGGCTTATTCAGGACTTCATTTTTTGTTGTTATATATTTATCCATATTCATGAACTTTTTTGTTCTCTGAAATTCCTTCTCTTTTTCTGCTTTCCGTTTTCTATATTCTGACCCAGATGGTTTCTTTTTTTTTCTCAACGTTTTCAGACATTTTGTATTAATCAATTTTTGTAAATCAATAAAATCTGCAACAAATTAAACCTTTAGATACAATAATTAAATAGATTATATATAACTAAAAAAATAAATAATTACAATAAAATTTATAAATCTAACAACTTTAAACATATTTAAATCGTATATTAGGTTTTTTATGCAAAAATAATTGAGTTATTATTCTTTTTTTTTTCCAAAAGACTGAACTTTTTTGTATGGAGCTTAGCATAGACTAAAATTTAAGTACATAAAATGACGTATTTTGGTGTACGTAAAACGTACGTCAATCGACAAATAATATACTGTTTGCGCACTGCACCCCCTATATATAGTATGCACACCACTATGATACGACAAAGAGTATCTTCGGGATACTCAAAGAAACCCGAAAGAAATAGAACTAGAAACCACATATAATTCATGCTATTGAACAGCAGCAACAACGACGCCATTTCAATTCAATAAAATAATATATAATTTTCTACTCCAACCTGATATTACTGTAACTAAAGTTAATAAAATTTGTCTGTAAGTCTATAAGGACTTAAAGTGTTTTTCCTCGAATAAATCTCCACTGCAATACATAATTACAAACAACAAGATGTCGTAAATGATATACTTTCTGAGATATTTCAGTTTGAAAATGTGAAATAAAATAATGTATTTTCTACAAACAATTATATGTATTTCAATTATAATAATATGTATAACCAATATTACATTTTTTGGAAGCCACTTATTTCTCCTCCACCCCACGCCACACAAATGTTAGCATACATTGCACGCACCAGCATATTTCAATGTTTGGTCTCATGTCATGGGAACACCAGAAAATAAATTGTTATGCATATTTTAATATAAGGGAAGAAGAAGAATGCAGATGGTTGATGATTTACGAGAGAAGAGGAAAAAGTATTCTATGTGTATGCATACACCACATAAACAGGTATGTACACATTCATGCATAGGGAACTGGTTTTATTCTCTTAAATATAATAACAATTAGAAAAAGAAACTATGGTGCAAGGCATCGTACCTTAAGGCAAATTTCTGAAACTTTTCGCACCGGAATTAAATATTCGAGGGAAAAAAATCAGTAATCAATAAATATTGATTTTTGATTATAATAATTGTTTTAAACATTTTCAAATAGGTAATTATAATCCTATGTATTTTATATACATCTTTTTTTTGTAAGATATGCCCAAATGTTCAGAAATCTTTGAAACGTAAAGATAGGACTGATTAGTTCAATGACAATTAAGTCAAATGATAAAAGTGGTTAATTTATAAAAATCTATATATCATTTTTCACTGTAATACCAGTTTCCTAATGTATTTTATATGATTCGGTCGATTATTTTTGAGGCTTGTTGTGAATACATATGCTAATTAATAATTTCATGTCTAAAAAATAATGTTTATAGATTTTCTCAATTTTGCTTTCAATTTGTTTGTTTAACAACATATGGTGGAAATCTATCGTTTGAAGATAGAACCTTCCATTCTCTATTCAGTCTGGTGTTCTTAATTTGTTCAGAATGTTTGAGTCCTTCTGCCTCGTTGATAACAAAGTACCATTCAATCTTCGATGTGTCTTTGATGAAAAGCTTGCTCTTCCATTTCTAACACTGTGTTTATAGCTATATCCATTCGCCTCAAGCATCTTCTCTTCAAAATCTGACTCTTTATCTGATTATGATAGCTCTCCAAGAACATGTTTGTATTTATGCCCAAGCCTTTCCTGTAACAGTATGCCCAAGTTTTGGTGAATGTATCACATTAAGGCTCAATTAAATGGGCATCTAATTTGGACTGGAAGTCTTCCTCGTCGTAATTTTTTATATACTGCTCTTTCTTTCTGTCGATTTCTAATCTTGAGTGCCGTTGATCTTTTCCAACTCCTGGACACATGCCAGGAGCATAACAATTTATTTTCTGGTATTCCCATGACATGAGACCAAGCATTAAAATATGCTGGTGCGTCATCAGTCATAAACGTTGTTGTCTTTATTAACCCTACTGACTTATAAATTTCTTGGAAAAATATTTTCAAAATGACTTCATCCTGCCTGTTGGAGAAACAAAACGCAACAGGTATTCCGCTTCCAAATTCATCTACAACAACCAGAGTGTGTAAATGATAACCATAGCCATTTGTCCCATAGGTTCCTCAACGCATAGTTTGTCAGCGCCAAATTCCATTAACATTTTGGCCTGCAGGTTAGTCGTAATGACCAAAATAATGTCTTCCTTATTTAGCCCATAATCAGCTATACCAACTTCTTTATAAAACAGAACTTGGAACTTTTTCTCAAGTTGCTTCTCTCTGACCCATATTCTTACGCTTACTTGATCATTAGGATTTCTGTATGTCATATGTGGTGGTGAAACACGTTTTTTGATGTACCATATATCCTTTCTTGATGTGATCAACGAAGCCCTGCGGGGTAGCATATTATCATGTGCAGCACTACGTATACTGCTTATAATAACATCATCTGAAACTCCAGCCAGAATTTTATCTGTAAAAATTATAATATTAATTTTATAGTATTAATAAATTAATAATTCATACATTTAAATGTATACATAAGTATGTATGGGTGCGTAAATTAATACACAGTAATGTATAAATGTACCTTCAATTATCTTTTGCAAATGTTTGTCGAGAATATATTTTGCAAGATTCTCGTGTTCCACATGCGTCTTCAAGTGCATGGCTTTACACCATCACTATAATGCGTAGTACGGATTCGAGAAGGACACGCCTTTCCGATTTTTTTGGATGCCCTTGAAATTTTCCCTTTTCTCTTTTTATTGCAACTATATGAGCGGTGGCAATCGTAAAAAATAATTTTGTTCCCATCTTTAATTTTGTACCCAGACTTATCTATTACATATCGAGTAACATCCCTCTGCTCAATTTTATTTTTCCATGATTGAAAATCTATATAAGAATACCAAATAATAGAAAAGTGCATTAACAAAGTCTATAATCGAAAATGAACAAACCATTAAAAGAAGAAAATGTCATTTCTTCATGCTCGATGTGGACGGTGTGATCAACTTCGATATGTTGATGTAAGGCATTTTATCTGGAAAACAACTTTTGACAATTCTGAAGGGGGCACAAGATCCTAGATTTCCTTTGAGTACCTATTAAAACATAATATTATTACTGTTTGCTGCATCATTGTTAAATAACATGTTTGGTACACATACCTGAAATATAGTTTGCTGTTGTAATCTGCTGTTGAACACTGGTGCAAGAAGTGGATTGTGTGGCAATGGAGTTGATGATGTTGGTAGAAGTTGATGGTGTCGGTGAAATGGAGGCAGCATATGAATGAAAAGCAAGAGAAAGGGCAATGGAGTCTGTAGCAATGGAGTCGGTTGCAAAAGTTGATGGTGTCGGTGAAATTGAGGCAGCATAGGAATGAAGGGCGACAGATGTTCTAGGGTTGATGCGGAAATTATTGAAGTAGGTGTTGTAGGTGATATGATCGGAATGAACTGTTTGAATATGTGAGGAAGAATTTGATGAGTGAGCGTCAGTGGCTAGAACAGAATTGGGAGCAGATGGTTGAAGAGGAATGGTAGAATGAAAGTGTATTATATGTTTTTTCAAAGCAGATGTCGAATGCAAAGCCTTACTGCAATAAATGCATTGAAACTTTCGATCGAAATGCATGGGTTCTTTCCCATGCTTGGCCCTAATATGGCGATATAAAGAACTGTTTGTTTTAAATACTGTAGAACAGTACAAACAGGTTTTAGCAGTCGTAATATTCATAAGAAATAAAATAAAAATGTCGATTATGTAGACATAATAAGGTAATGAAACGTAAGTGCTATACCTTAAAATACAAAATAAGCAAAGCTATATACCCTAAACAATGAATGAAATTAAAAGAATAACCTAACCTAAGTGGTAATCAGTAAAAAGTGAATAAAAAGAAGCTTATAACTAAAGTGATATACCCTAAATGGATAAAGTAAAGTGAATAACCTAAGTGATAGCCTAAAGTGAATAATCTAAGTGCTAGCCTAAAGTGATTAAAGTAAAGTAAGTAAAGTAAATGTAAGTGATTAAAGTAAAGTTAAGAATCTACGGTAATAGTATAGTTAAGAATGTAAGCGATTTAAGTAAAGTTAAGAATGTAAGCGATTAAAGTAAACTTAATCTAATAATCTAAGTGATAAAACTAAAGTTAAGAATCTAAGTGAATAAAGTAAATTAATCAATAAAAGTGATAAAGGCTAAAAACAGAATGAAACTAAAAGCTAATGAGATGAAAAAACTCGCGTCTCTTGCTGGAAAGAAACTAACCTTATTCCCTATAGAAGCTCTTGAATCCCGCAATAAAACAACAAATATAAAATGTAAAGAAATAAAATAACGCACAATCAACAAAAGCACAAAATGATTAGTACACGTAGCAAAAAAAAACGTAATGAAAGAAAACGCGAATAAAAAATATAAAATACGAGACGAACGAATTACACAATAAGCACGCCGAAAAAAAAATTATAGTAATGAAGTAATCGTAACAGTGAATCCAACATAAAAAAGTTGAAAGCACAGTGCAAAAGATTTGACAAATCTGTAATGTGTTACAGCTAACTTCAGCTTTCTCACCACTTTTTTATCCGGTGTTTAAAAACTCTAGTTTCGAAGAGCCATTTCTATATTGTTATCATGCCAGCTTTCGTAAGGCGCTCATGTATATAGAATCTATAAGAATTTGAACATGAGTTCCATCGTTGTATGTTTTATCATGTCCTTATTCATTTTAAATAGTAGCCTGCACTGTAGTCATTATGACCATAAAAGAAACATTATGTTCTACGCTTGTTTTTTTGTAATATAAAATTTTGTAACAGCTATTTTTCTCATTTATCTCAAACCATTTCTCAACACTGATTTTATCATGATTATCTTGATAGGCGTAGGGTATGATAGCACTGCTTTGCACTTGATATTTCGAACATTTTTTATGGTAATTTTAAGCACTTAATGGTAAAATTTCTTCATGTGCTGAATTTTGAATACTGATAATAATTTTATCATCTGAAAGTTCTGCTATAAATTTATCTACTTTTTCTCTTGTCACTTTTCGAGTTGTAACCTGAATTACACTGAACATATTGTGCTAACTCCATTTGTTCTAACTCTGATTCCCACAATTCAAATTCTATCAGGAATAGAAAAATGTAGCTAATTGTATAATTAGGAACATGAGTGATGAAAAAGATTTCATACCTTGAACCTGTTCAAACTGTAATTGTTTCTAATCAATTGATATATTATGGTAGAACACAATATTGTCACATTTAACTTTAACATTTAACAACAATCACATTTACCACATACTTTGAAGATCAGAGTTCCTGCAATGAAAAAAAATACAATACCAATAATGCAAATATAATAATATGAAAACAAACTCACCTGGTCAAATTATCCTATGATCAAAGAATATAGATTTGAATTTAATTTCTTCCGCTGTCATTTAATGTCATAGCGCTGACGAGCATATCGTAACCAGTTTGAGACTTCTTCTTACTCAGTGATAAGTGAGTGTTATAACATCTATTTTAAATATAAGAGAATTTATTATTCAAATTTGTATAATTACGAGTAAACAATTTCATGGTAATCATCTCATAAAGAGGGACATTGTTCTTCAAGCCAAGCCTTGAACATTGCATAGCCATCTCATTCAGCATTAGTCGCTTACACACAATGCAATGTACAAATTGCAATGTGTTCCTCCCCTGTTCTGTAACCAACTTCCATAATAAAGAGTTGCTTAAACAATTACTTAAATAAGATAAGTGTGTTTATGCATATTACACACTGATCATATACAGATATACAAATATATACTATATTTATACCAGAGAAGACTTACATATTTTTTACAGAACTCGTTGTCATCTCTCAAACGCATTTCTAGTGTATTCAATTTCTCCGCCGTCTTCAATGGCAAGATCAAGTCAATCTTCTTATGCAAGCATTTGAAGTAAAGATACTAATCCAAATTAAGACATTTATTAATTGACTTCATAATAATAATAAAATAGATATTAACTAGTCCAGTTGTGAGATCCACTATTTTGGATATCCATAATCCCTTTTCGTTGACATGTGCCCCTGGGGGTACATATGGACCACCTTGGGAATCACTTGTTCTAGTAGACGAACAAATATTAAGATGAAGCAGATCTATTTACATTATTGTAAAATTATAATTATGTTTGCATTTGATAAGTGTTAATTCTGAATTCAGTTCATGTTCATACCATGAATTATATTTTACTTACTACTATATAATTTTTCAATTCAGTGTTATTTACTAAACAGTATGCATTTTTGATTGTGAAAAGTTCCCAACAATGACTATCGGTCTGTTGAGGAGAAATTATTTTATGAAAACTTGGAATTTATTGGAATCTTTCTTGTAAGTTAAACAGCTTTTTCGAAATTGACTAAAAATTGTCCTTTAAAGCAATAATGCAAGAATTAACTCTGAATTGTTCTTTATCTGTATCTATTAAAACAAAGAGCCAATGGTTATTAATACTATTTGGTGCTAGATATCTTAAACCTGATGATAATTTTATAATGAAGTTATCATTATTATAATTTATAATATGATCATATTCATGAACACTAAAAATGTAGAATTTTTTGCTATTATATTGTGACAAGTGAGGGTTGAAGCCCCCTTCCTGGGGATTGCAATGGCTGCCAAATACTATATTTTAGTATTGCATCCCCATTACGAAAGGGTTACTTCAACACTCCAATCGCCCGCTAAAGTACCTGTAATTACCTGTGGGGGTTAGTAGCTACTATACGAATGAAACCAAGATTTCTTTAATAACTAAATCTATTTAAATAATTAATAATACATCCCGTATTTATTTGTGGAACTTGGCGGTACTCGCATACAGTCATGTTCCCTAACTTATACATTATTCTTATATCTGCTTATGTGAATGTATGGGTATATGGGGGAGAAGAATAGCTACAGCTTATAATTTATATGATATGACATTTAAGCTGGACCTGTCTTGTGGCACAACACACACAATTAACACTAACGTATCCCAAGGCGTTTGCCTATGGGATACGTCTTAGATGGCTGTAACTTCTTAATTGAACAGGACCTCCAGAGCAACTCATTGATGGACCCCAAAAACCAATAAATGGTTAAGGGTAGGGATGGTGTACTTTGGGGTGGACGACCATCAGGCGATAATAATTATCAATACGGCGATAATATTGATTATCGTCACAATATTTAATTGAAGCTAAGTAAGAGTCAATGATTATGTTATCTAACCACTCATTTCCATACAAAGTGAAAAAATTATTCAATTTAATGGCATATTTACCAAAAAATCTTAAAGTATACGATATATCCCTATTATACATGAAGGGTTTTATATAGAAATGAAAATCCTTAGCTACATTATTGTTAGGGCACAAATCTATTTTTAGTTCTGTACTAGAGTCAGCAGAGTTGTTCGAGTCTAGGCATTTATGCAAAGAAAAAGCTTTTTTCCTTTGCCAATTTTCCTACATAGGTAAAAATTGACCGGATTATTAGATTTTTTGTTTCATATTTCCTTTGCATCTCTAATATCTACTGTCGTGGTGTTATGGTGCTCATTTAGTTTTTCAGTTATTTTATTTACTGTGTTGCTTCTTTTCATTTTTTTAATACTGTTTCCATGCCTAACTTCTTCTGATTTGTATTTCCTCTTTTTTTCTAAAATAACTTTCGTTGCTTTTCTCAGGATTAAGTTTCTGTGTTACAGGGCGTTTATTTATTAAATCATTATTATGAAGCGTCAACAAATTTTTAATTGCATTTATGAAATGTGACTGTTTCATATATTTATCACCATGGCAGATATTGTTGTTTAATGTATTGAAAAATGATTCTACAGCAGCATTTGAATACAAATGTTTTCTGTCATTATCTAACATTAGACCTGTCCACAAAGGTATAATTGGAATATACCTGTCCATTACATAATTTAAGAAACCTGGAAAGCAAAAACGATTAGTAAATCTTTCTTTCGGCATAATCTTTTCGGCTTCGCATTTAATATGAAGGAAATCTTTATAAAATACACTATTTCGTAAAAGATCTTGACATTGTTCACGATCATTTATTTCTGAAACATCAGTATCAGTCAAGATTGTCTTGTTTGATACTGAGTCATTATTTTCTAATAGATTTATTTCCTTGATCGCTAAAGCTATTAGTACATTATGATATTTGCTACCTAAAATCCACACAATATGAGTGAACATCACCTAAAAGAAAAATAATTGAGCTTACGGATAACGATATTATTTCCTGATTCCTGATTGTTGCATGAATGCTTGCATAGAGCTGTGGTCGCAAACCGCACGTTTAAAATGTATAAGACCGCCTAATTCATCTATACAATCTGTAATACTTCACTTAATAA